CTTCAGGGGTGAGGATATTCAGCTGACTCTCAGGATGACTGAGTATGAGTAACATTCGTCATGTGACTCTAAAATAGCTCTTTAGGTGTCCTTGAGAACAAATAAAGCTATGCTCCACCGAGTGGAGAGGGACTCAAAACCCCCCTCTTCTAGCCAAGGAGCTGTTGACAGTTGCTGGCTTTGGGGAAGGGAGGGTCAGATTTCTTTAAGGGTGTGGCTCCTGGTAGGTCAGCCACCCTCCGATGGATGGTCCCACACCCAGGAGTATATGGGCAGTGTAAACTGGACTTGGTGGGCTATAAAAAAAAAAGTCAGATTTCTTTAAGGGTGTGGCTCCTGGTAGGTCAGCCACCCTCCGACGGATGGTCCCACACCCAGGAGTATATGAGCAGTGTAAACTAGACTTGGTGGGCTATAAAAAAAAAAAAAAAAAAAAAAAAAAAAGAGGCATGAAGTTGGGAGGGGTGGATGTTGGGAGGTGGAGCTGAGAAGAGTTAAGGGGAGGGGAGGAGATGAATGTCATCAAAATACACTGTATACAGGTATGAAGTAAAAAGTAAACACATTTTTAAAAGCAATGTAAAATGAACAAATATGGTAAAAGATAAACAATTGTTCAAAGAGTTGATAGACACAAGGTTGTTTGGTCTCCTAATTCTTTCTACTTTGCTACATTTGAAACACATCTAAGAAAATAAATCCTTGGGTGTTGAAAACTGCTCAATCTCATTCCCCCCCTCTATCTCTGTCTCTATCTCTCCCTCCTTTTCTCTCCCTCTCCCTCTCCCATTGAGACAAGGTATTACTAAGTAGCCCAGCTAGCCTCGAACTCAGCATCCTCCTGGCCCTAGCCTCCCCAGCTGCTGAGATGACAAGTGTGTGCCTCCATTCTGGGAAGCTGACGGCTGCCCCCTTTCCTTGTGCAGTAGTAACTTCAGGTGAATTCACAGCTCCCTTCCTTTTCCATCCTGGGTCACAGATAGTGTGGCGTCCTTTGTTGACCACTCTAAGATATTTACTCAGTGTGTGACATCCTGGGGCACTCAAATCCAATTCATCCCAAAGCTGTGTTGGAAGACCCTTGAGTGTAGACACTCCTCTGCTTATGATGGGCCGCATCCCAACTGTGGCTAAGAGGAAAATGTATTTAACATCCACCCCTCAGACATTGCTCAGCAGCATGGCACAGGACATTATTGCCTTCGACATCTCAGTACTGTGGGACTGTAATCGTTGCTGCTGCCATGCCGGGTTGTTTTTTCCAGTGCTGGCGACCTTACCCAGGGTCTTGAACATGCCAGACACGGTCTCTCCCTCTGAGCTACACTCCCAGCCCCAGGTTCATGTCTTATTGCTTATCACTGGCTGGATAAATGGTTCCAATTCAAAACTCATTTGTATGGCTGTGTACTGCTTCAGACTATAGGAATCCAGGGCTCAGTACGTGATGTCTCTGAATGCAGGAAAAAACCCTGCTCCACGCTTGTCCACAAGGACTTCCTGTGGCTGGTCTACTACAGAACCTTAGGGGGAAGGCAGCATCTTTCTTACATGACTGCTTGCAGCTCCTTCCCCTAGAATCCAAAAGGAGTTTGACTCTGTGCAATAGACATCATACAATCCCAGAAGCAGTAACGGCTGACCACTCCGGGCCCTACATTTTAGATCCCCCCACACAAACCAGTCCTTGCCACAGTCACATGCCTTGTTATATTGGCTCTCCAAAATATGACCCTAACCCTCGGCACTTTTGAACCAGATGTCAAAGCCTCTGCAAGGCAGCAGTTTCCATATCTCTGCACACCAACCTCTAGTGAAATACCACCTGGCTCATGAAGGGCAAGGCTGCCACAACAAAGAGACTCTGAGTAAGGGACTTTGACATGTCAGCCCAGTGGTGAGGAGCCAGGCTGACAGAAAGGCCAATGGTTTTTTCAGCAAAACAGCTCCTTCCTTCCAGTCTTCCCCGTCACTTCCCTGGGCCCGTGGTTCTCAGACTGTCAGCACCTGTCACCTGCAAGGACTGTTATACTGCTTCCTACTCCTAGGTTACAGAACTTGTTCAATAAGTCAGAACCAAGGATGAGAATTTGCAGGGGGTTTTTTTGGGGGGAGGGCAGAGGTTGGTTTCTCGAGACAGGGTTTCTCTGTGTCGCTTTTGGAGCCTATCCTAGAACTCGCTCTGTAGAACAGGCTGGTCTTAAACTCACAGAGATCTGTCTACCTCTGCCTCTGGAGTGCTGGAATTAAAGGCCTGCTAGGGAATTTGCATTTTTAGGTGAAGAAAGATGTGGTTTAGTTCACAGTCTCAGAGCTTTCAGCCCAGTGGTCAGGAAAGCATCTCAAGACAGTTGGGTTCGTGGCCATGAGAGAGCATGACAGAGGCTGTGCACATCATGAACCAGAATGCTGAACATCCGTTTTTCCACCATACCTCAAGGGATGCTGATGTTGCTGGCTCAGGGACCGGCCGCTATGCATTTTTTCTACCAGGACACTAGGGACACAGGAAACAATAAAACGGCCTCAGGGGCTGGAGAGGTGGCTCGGCACTTAAGAGCACTAGATGCTTGTCCAAAGGACCCAGGTGCAATTCCCAGCACCCACAAATCCCACAACCACCTGGAACTCCAGTTCCAGGTGGATCTGATGCTCTCTTCTGACCTTCATGGGCACCAGGTGCACAAGTGGCCCACAGACAAACCATCTCTTCACTTAAAAAACAAAAATAGATAAAACAGAGCCTTCAACTTTAGTGCACTGATGGCCAAGGGGTAGACATTCAGTGATCTCAGCGTATAGCTGCAGCACCTTGTTTAGAAATCAGCACACACACCCCACCCCAGGCTGGGGAGACTATTTTTGAAAACATCGTAGCAAAATTTCATGCCATTAAAAAGCAATTTTCTCCAGCCAGAAATCAAAGGTGGCCGAATCCCTTCACCACCAAACACGTGCTGTGATTTAAGACATGATGACGAGGGGCTGCAGTTAAGAGAGGGCTCAGCAGTTAAGAGGCTTGAGAGCACTCACCGCTTATGCAGAGGAACTGAGTTCGGTTCCCAGCGCCTACAGAGCAGCCTACAACCATTTGTAATTCAGTTCCAAGGGACCTCACACCTCTTCTGGCCTTCTCCGGGTCCTGCGCATACATAGTATACATAAACTCATGCAAGCATACACTTACACACATAAAAATAATAAGAATATTTAAAAAGAAATGGTAAGACACAAGGGCAGTTGCAGTAGTTGTTTTTCACTCTTTTGGCTCTTTGGAGGCCCGCCACCCTGCTCCCAAATAAATGTGCATGGAGGCTTAATTTTTCTTATGAATGCCTGGCCTTGGCTTGGCTTGTTTCTAACCAGCTTTTCTTAAAGTATCCCATCTCTTGCCTCTGAGCTTTTACCTTTCTCTACGTCTTGTTTACCTTTTCTTTACTTCTTACGCTATAGCTTGCTGGGTAGCAGGGTGGCTGGCCCCTGATGTCCTCCTCCTTCTCTCACTCCTTGATCTTCTCCCAGATTTCTCCTTCTATTTATTCTTTGCCTGCCAGCCCCGCCAATCCTTTCTCCTGCCTTGCTATTGGCCATTCAGCTCTTTATCAGACCAATCAGGTGTTTTAGACAGGCAGAGTTACATAGATTCACAGAGTTAAACAAATGCAACATAAAAGAATGCAACACATCTTTGCATCATTAAACAAATATTCCACAGCACAAACAAATGTAACACATCTTAAAATAATATTCTACAACAGCCAGTATCTTAACGCCTCACTGGGACCTGGGCATACCAGTGGGATGATGTGTGAAAGACTTTCCAAGTGTTGGGGGGAAGGTGAGGTGCAAATGCCAAGTGAACGAGAAGCGACAGGTCTAGACTTTTTTCTGAGGTGCTGTTGTCTCTCAAAGTGCCCCAAAAGCCAATGGTACTGTGACAGTGATGTCCCCAAGGACAATGACACTTCACATCTGCAACTATCTCAGTGTCTTCTGGGACGTGCCTTCACCTCAGGCTCACTTAACTGTCACCAAACTGTTACAGTGTCACAGCGTCTATGTTCAAGGAAAAGCTAACCTTTTCCATTGGTATATATGCATAGGCAAACCCATAGCATGTGTAGGGTTCAGTGTGGTCTATGATTTTTAGGCATCTACTGTGTACATGTGCACACACACACACACACACACACACACACACACACCCTTTCCCGTTTTTCCCCCTTGGTCTTTTGTTTGTTTGTTTGTTTTATTTTCACACAGGGTTGGTCTATCTATCTATCTATCTATCTATCTATCTATCTATCTATCTATCATCTATCTATCTCTCAAGATGGCCTCTTACATGTAACCCCTCTGCCTCAGCCTTCCAAGTACTGAAATAACAGTCAAGCATGGCTAGCTCACATTAAAAAAAAAAAGATGTATTTATTTTTATTTTATGTGTATGAGTGTTTGCCTGCACGTATTTATGTGCACCATGTGCATGCTTGGTGCCCGCAGAGGCCAGAAGAGGACATCAGGTCCCCTATGTGGGTGCTGGGAACCAAACTCAAGTCCTCTGCAACAGTAGCCAGTGCTCTTTACCTCTGAATCTCACATATATTTTTATGGCAAGAAAAAAAATATGATGTGTGGAGATACCACAGTAGAACCTATTCATCTCTACAATTGATAGCTGTCAATCATTATAATTTAAAAAATAAAGAAAATTCCTGCAAACTCCTTCCTCTTGGCATGCTAGATTGGCAAGAGGAAAGGGCAGGACAGCTGGGCAGATAGGTTGTGGCCAAAGCGGAGTTGTCTGGCATTGGGGTGCCCTTGCCTTGAGTTGTGTCCCAGACTGATTCATCTTGGAATCTCTTCGTCCTTCATCTGTCATCCCCCAAGGCTAGTATGAGAGTCCCTGGGCTTACAGGCAAAGCCACTGAGCTTGGGCAGGACAACCAAGGAAGCCCGTGAAGAGCCTGGAGACAACATCTATCTGTTTGTGTTTTCAGGAGAGCCCCACGGCAGGACCCCGAATCGGCCTCTCCTCCAACATCCCACTGCTGCTGCCCCCAGCGTCCGGTGCCTGGACCTCTCCCTGTCCCACCTCTCAGCAGGTAAGAATGGTTCTCTACAGAGCAGAAAGGTGAGACTCGGAGAGCAGGGTCCCCATGGTGACAGAAGTTCCTCATACCATCTCTGTCAGTCTGGACTTCCTCTTCCCTAAGGACACTATTAGCCAAGGCAGATGAAGGTGTGATGACTCCCACCATTCTGGAAATCCTTTCCCTGTCCTGAGTCAGGTCCTATCAACAGCCCTCGGATGAAACTGCCTCATCCTGGCTCCCATCCGAAGTTGGCACTTGAGTTGGGAGCCACTGAGGCAGCCTGCCAGAGGTCCCTAGATGACCTGTCAGTAGAAATGTGCCTGTGTGCCCAAGGAAACTGACCTCAAGGCCCCAGGGTGGCCCTGAGCATTTGACTCATTTTTCCTTTGCCTCGCCTTCCTGGAGGCCAAGCACCCAGTCAGTGTCCCCTGGAGGCAGCATGGATAGCCAGCATTGTCACCACCCCTGTGTGGAATGTTGTCCTCTCGGCGTGTTTGCTGGTATCTTCTTCATCAGGGCAGCTGCGGCTACTCAGAGGCTGTAATACCCTCATAGAAGGAGGGAGAGGCGTCACCCATACCTGGGCTTGAGCCGCATCCTCCCAAGGCTGAGTGTCATCCTGCCCTGGCTGTCTGTGGACTCTGAGGAGCTAGAGTAGGTAGGGGTGGGAGGCTAACTGAAGAGGAACTCCATCTGCATCCATGTTGGGATGGGATTGTTCAGTGATACGGCTGCCTTGAGGTCACCAGCGATCTAGCTGCGACTCACGCCTCGTAAGCAAGCCCAATAAACTAATTGGTTCGCCAAGCTGGACTGTCGTGGGATTTTTACTGTGTCGGGGGAAACACTGTCTCTCTGGGAAAGCTCATGTCCCGTCCCACCCCGCTTTGTCTCTAGTCCATTTCTTCCCAGACACTCACTTGGGTCTTGCAGAGGCAGCTAGTGGGCTCAGAAAAGCAGAGGTATCACTCAAGTGGGGTCTAAAACACCCCTGGGTGAGTCGGGGAGGGGGATGACTCCAAAGCCTCCCTCTTGGGCTACCTTTCAGAGTTCTTCTGTCTCCAGCTCCATCTGGCTAAAGCCATATCCTTCTGCACTTCCAGCCATCCCAAGTGGCTCGCCCCCACTGTGTCAGCCCCACCCCACCCCACCCCCGACCCTGCGCGCTCTCTCTCTCCCAGGCCAGGCAGAGGATCCCCCTGCCCGAGGGGTGCATTGGTCCTGGAAGAGCAGGACAGACCAAGGCTAGGGCTGGCAAGGAGGTCCCTGGAACTCAAACTCCCAGTTACTTGTGGCTCTCCTCTTGGCTGGGAGGTTTCCAAATGAGACAGGAACCCACACCTGCCGAACTCTGCTTTGAGCAGCTGACCTAGCTAATACCAAGAAAGCCTTGTCTAAAAAAAAAAAAAAAAAAAAATGCCTGTGAGCAAAAGCCATTGCGTAGTGGTGCAGGTGTCCACTGTCTCTCCCCACAGGGTAACGGGCACTCAGTGATCCCAGCCTTCGCCTCTGCCTCACTCGGCACCTAGGGGAGCCACTGTCCTTTACATTTGTGTTTGCCTGACTTCAGCCACACACTGTGATCATTAGTCTCCCTCAAGCAATTTCTCCTTGCATGAGTGACAGAGAATCCTTCTCAGGGGACAGTTAACACTATAATGTCTTGTCTGGGCCATGTGGCGTAGATGTGTGTCCAGGCAGGGAGAATTTCTTCTTTCTAAAAGAATCAATCTGGCTGCGGGGAGAATCTGCAGGTGATGGAACATAGGAAGAGTGGGAAGGGGCCCACCTTCCCCCGGAGCAGCAGCACCTCAACCCTCTCCTCTGGGTTATTTTACAGGGAGCACAGGATGAAGGAAGGCATGTCTAATAACAGTACCACCAGCATCTCCCAGGCCAGGAAAGCCGTGGAGCAGCTGAAGATGGAAGCCGGCATGGACAGGGTGAAGGTAAACTCGCTCAGCATGTTCCTCCTTGTTCCAGAGTGGCTCGGTGAGGCTCAGTTCCCCAACAGAGCAACAGTCTCAGTGGGTGTGTGTTTGTGCCAGAGCTCTGAGCCTACCATGATGCAGTCCATGGTGTGTGTGTGTGTGAGTTCCATAAGGAAGTGCCAAAAATAGACTGTCCTTCCCACGAGCTGTATTAACTATTGTGATACAGTAGGATGGAAAAGAAGAGACGGACCATGAGGTTGATCACTTTATGTCTCCCTAGTGTTAGGATAGAGGTTAGATGGCAATACGATTTCGGACAGGCACAGCTTGTCCAACCTGTGAGTATTAAATATTCCTGGGGGGGGGGAGGGTAAAGGCAAGTGCCTGCCACCTCCCACCATGGGTGTTTGGAGTCCCTTCCCCCTGGAATTACTGCAAGGAGATGAAGCCTTGGTTTCCACTGGTGCACACAGAGATGAGTTGGAGGCTTGAACTGGAGTGTGTGGCTGTGAAATGCACCAGCTCACGGCTGTGATAAGGTTAGGACTCCTCTCCCCCAGGAATGACATCAGCGAGTCCGCCATGCCTGTGGTCTTCGAGGACCAAATCCAAGGGTCTTGCTCAAGTGTTCGGCATGTGAGTTATTGTTCTCCTTGCCATGACAGCGTTCCTGGGGAAAGCAAACTAAGGAAGGAAGGGCTTGTCTTATCTGGCTCACGGTTCAAGGGTACAGTCCATCTCACTGGGAAGATGTGGTGTCAAAGTGGCTGCCCTTGGGTAGGGGATGAGGTGGACTGGACAAAGGGCGTCCAGTCAGGAAGCAGAGAGGTGAGTGCTCAGCCTATTTCCTCCTTTTTATTTGACCCAGGATCCTAGTCTGTGCGCTGATACACACAAGGCTTCCCTTCCCTGAAGTGTTTACCTAATTATTCTTTATCCATAAAAATGTGGGAGTCAGATATCGAGGTAAGAACCTGAATGATCAGAGAAGTGGTGGAGAAGCGACCAGTCACCTCTTCTCTCTTTCCTCCATCCAAAAAGGGCTGAGAGTCTTTCTAAGCCCCACCGTACTATTTCCTGTCTCTTTCTCTAGGTCCTCAATCCTCCAAAACCTCTATGGCTAATTTTGGTCAGTAGCTAACTCTGCCCTCTGATTAAAAGCAAATTTTATTGGTAGTCTTGGGAGTGTCTGAGTCCAATCAAAATATCCTATAACATTTCCCCCTTTGTCTAAATAAAAAGGGAACGTTTTAACTCTAACACAGTAAAACTATATACAGTAAGGACAATTATCAAGCCAAGCAATCGTGGCACATGCCTTTAATCCCAGCACTTGGGAGGCAGAGCCAGGCAGATCTCTGTGAGTTCAAGGCCAGCCTGGTCTAAAGAGTGAGATCCAGGAGAGGCACCAAAACTACACAGAGAAGCCCTGTCTTGAAAAACAAACAAGCAAACAAAAAGAACAATTATCAAGTAAGAATTACATTCACATTGTCCAGTCTATTGCATTTGGCTTATTCAGAGAAAATACTATTCTATCTTGATGAGTCCAAAGTTTAATACCTAATTCACTTTCTATTCTAACTTGTATTACCAACCCCAAACTATCTTTTTAGACCTTAAAATATTTTCTTAGCTAAACAATTTATGCTTTTATGTCTCTCAACCTTATACACTTTATACCTCTTTGGTGAGTTTCTTTTCTGAATTTGGTAACAAGGAATACTATAACTATAACTGTTTCATCTTCAACTCCATCAAAGACCTGAGAAGGAAATAATATTACCTGATTAAATAGGAAGTGTAGAGCAAGCAACTTCCAAAACTAAGAAATAACAGAGACATCTGGCTGCAGATGTCACCCAAGGTTCCTCTGCAATGTTGAGGCATCCACCTTTGACCTGCAGACCTAGAATATCTGCCAGACTTTTTTGTGAAGCAGGAATTTCAAAGGACTGTTCCACCTTGTCTTGGCAAAGTTCAGTAGTCACCTTCTTTTGTGTCCTGCTTGTCCAATTTTGGACAGCATACTGTCAGCAGTCGAGGCAAGGGCAGTTTCTTGTCCAAATGGCTAGCTTTGCCACAATGAAAGCAAACTCCATGTGGAGGTTCTTCAATGGCTGTCATCCTTTTTTGAAGTAAATTGGTGCTGCCAGGAGCAGACATGTCTCACTGTCATGAAAAGCCTTATGTTATTAAAACATCACAAATGCCATATTCTTTAGGTCAGTGAAGTGGTTGAATACCACCTATCTATCTAAAATATATCTCTCTTTAATCTTGAAAAATATACCTAACATGACTATAAGTTTAATTGTAAAAGATGACTACTAACTTGCATTTCTTAATTATCCTAAGTAGTTTCCAAAGATTCGAACTTTACATTACATTGTTAATTAAGCTGCATAGGTACAATACCTTAAACAAGAGTAGAAACATATATACAGTATGTTCTAACAAAAATAACCTTACATTTGTATCAATGTACTATATCCCTCCACCTTTCTTTCTTTCTTCCTTTCTTTCTTTCTTTCTTTCTTTCTTTCTTTCTTTCTTTCTTTCTTTCTTTCTCACTTTCTTTCTTTCTTTTTTTTTTTTTTTTTAGACAGAGTTTCTCTGTGTAGTCTTAGTGCCTATCTTGGATCTCCATCTGTAGACCAGGCTGGCCTCAAACTCACAGAGATCTGCCTGCCTCTGCCTCCTGAGTGCTGGGATTAAAGGCATGCACCACTGCCACCCAACCTATATTCTCCCTTTTTCTTTTCAGAAAGAGATACTGGAATCCAACCTGCTTTGTTTAGTTTTTTTTTTCCCTCGTCATGACCAGTAACAACTTGCAACCAGCTCCCCTAAATGATGACAAACATGTATAAACAACCAAACAACGAAAAACTATCCACCCCACCTTTTAGGAATGTGGGCATCATGTTCTCTAGACTGCTGCCTGTTGTCTGGAGGCAACAACATCTTTAGGAGACCCTGAGAAAACTAGGATAGTTGTGAAGTCCTGGGAGAGCTAGCTGTATCATTTGTTGTCTAGTCTCCATGTAATGGAAAAATGCAGGGCTTATCTGAAGTCCTGGCTGGAGTAGTCTGTGAGGCTGGACCCTCTCAGCTAGCATCTTTGAAGTTGTCTTGGATGTAGAATTTTGAGGAAACTGCAACAGAGGCATTCTGAGAAGCTGGATCACCTGGGCTGCTTGTCCTCATTGATGTCTGGTCCTTTTTTTTTTTTTTTAATTTTCCTGAAAACACACAAACTTTTAAAGGTAACATACATATCTGCATTAACACACATATGGAATGTATGGTGTGCACAAGTCAGATAAAGATGATTTTTGTTCTATATTAGAGCAGGTAAAAGGCACCTGTCAACTTTACAAGTTCCTTTGGACTACATAACCAAACTGTAATATAAATCTCTATCCAGCCATATGAAAGGATAGCATGTAATAAGAAGTCATCTGTGGCCAACAAGATTTATCATGTCTCATCCAGTCTCCAAGCTGTTTCCATGTAGAGGGATCAACATACACATCACCTGTCTAGTAGTTTTTCTTGGATTTTTTTTCTTCATGTCTACAGCCAAGATTTTCAGGTGGTCTCCCCCGATCAAATCTGGTCCTTATTAATTTTAAAGAAACCCATAGCTTTTTCTTTCCTGTGGAAACAAAAGCAAAACCTCTCCCTCAATGCAACATATTTTCTGACTTCCATTTTAAAGTTAAGACATTCTTTTTTTGTTTTGTTTTGTTTTTTCGAGACAGGGTTTCTCTGTGTAGCTTTGCGCCTTTCCTGGAACTCACTTGGTAGCCCAGGCTGGCCTCGAACTCACAGAAATCCGCCTGGCTCTGCCTCCCGAGTGCTGGGACTAAAGGCATGCGCCACCACCGCCCGGCTAGTTAAGACATTTTAAAAATATATAGGTTGCTTTAATTTAGCAGTTTCCATAATCCAGTGTCTCTTAGCACCTATTATTTTTTGGATATTAGCATTTAAAAAATTCAGAGTCAACAAAGCACCGTACAGGATCCAGACATCCTGTGCATTTCCCATTTTTACGTGACTTTTTTCTTTTATATTACTTTACTCTCTCTTTAAAGATGTTATTATTTTTAAACTATTTATTTTGACTGTCTATACCCATTTTCTTTCTTCAGCATCTAAATACATTTTTAAGCATGCTATTTCTGTTTAGAGGTTTTCTCTGTCTGGATCTGGCTTTTTTGTCTGTCTGCAGCCTTCTCTGACTGAGTGAGCCATACCTTAAACTGCTAAGCAGCAGTTAGGCTCTCCACTGCCTGACTTCAGCACATGGCCTGATGGCTGGCTCTGCCCACTTCAAGTCGGTGAGAGCAGAGCTTCGTGCCTGCCAGCCTGGCCTGGAGCCAGTCTATCTGCCCCAGCTCTGGTAGGCAGTTCTGCCTAGTCTCCCACCACTGAGTAGTGCACCGCCCGCCACACATAAACCCCATTCAAGTAGCAGGGCCTCTTGAAAGGGCTGTGCCTCTGCACACCACAAGCACCAAGCCTCCTCAGAACCCTTTTTCAGCTTTCTCAGGCCCTATGTGGATTTACATGCCATGAGTTGGGTACCAAATGAAGCATTTATCTAATTACTCCTTATCAATAAAAACATGAGCATCAGATATGGGGGCCAGCACCTGAGTGATCAGAGAAGTGGCAGAGAAGCCCTCTCTCCTTCCTCGATCCAAAAAGGGCCGAGAATCTTTCTAAGCCCCACTCTACTACTTCCTGTCTCTCTCTATCTGTCCTTGGTCCTCTAAAATCTCGATGGCTAATTCTGGGAGTGTCAAAGTGCGATCAAAATATCCCTCAGCACTTCCCGTTCTAGAGTGTGGCTCAGCAGCCCCATCTCCCCCTTGCAAGCAGAGTGGCTCTTTCTCCCACAGCTCATGGCGCCAGTTCTCCTGGGGACAGGAAGTATGCACAGAACCTGATGGCCATGCCTACGGGACAGGGAGGAGTGTGGGCTGTGTGCAGTGCTATGAAGA